CCTGGGGGCGACCTCTGCCTCTGCAGCGCGAGCGAGCAGGCGAGCACGAGGGGGACGCAAGCTGTTCGTCGTGGGCAGCTGCCGGCCAGAGTGGCGATGCCTCCGGGGGGGGGCAGCGCAGCGCGCCGCCGATGCGAGTGAGATCGTGCTGGTGCTCGTCGGGCGGCTGGCCAAGCGCTTGCCCCCCTCTGTGTCGCCAGCACAGGACGGGGAGGAGATCTGGAGGACGAGGGAGGAGAAGGAGGGCGGGGATGGAGAGGAGGAGGGTGCCACCCTCTCGCGGAGGTGGTCCCGCATGCGGAGGTTGGAGTCTGTCCACCCTCTTCACAGAGGGGCGTCCTCAAGGAGGAGCAGGGGGTCTGGGATCGAGGGCCCAACCCGGCCCAGATAAGGCCGTGAGGGAGCGGAGTAAGCGCACAAAGGTCAGACTTCCGCATCCATTCGGGCTCAGGCAATTTCGGCCAGAGCGCAGCGCCTACCCGGGACAGCGACCTGCACACGTAGCTTAGGATGCAACTCCTGGGAGGTTCAGTTCAGCATCGGCGCTGGTATATCCAGGGTCGGAAACGGGCCTGATCAGGCATAGTCCTGCTGAGTTCCGCTGAACCCCGCCAAGTCTGGTCGAACATTACGGTCACGAATCGGGGCTTAGCGTGTCGCGCCGCTGGTTCTGGCCCACCACGCTTCGGCGCGACACGCCCTCCACGCCCCAGTCCCCAAGCGCCAGCGTCCCGCGCGCAGCGGAGCGACACGCGAGCCGCACGGGCGGGCAGAGCGTGTCGCCCTGGGCCGCCGCGGCGGCGCGCCGCCCCACGGCTCCTGACCGGCACGCAGTCCTGCGGGCCGCTCTCGTGTGAAGACCTCCCGGGAGCCGCCTCCCCACCCAGACCTTCCAGAGAGCTATTTTGTAGCACTAGAGACCTACAAACCTAAAAAGCTGAGCGAAACAGCCTGAAACCAAGACGTAGAATAGCTCCGGGATAGGTTTTACGTCGGGTGCTATTTTTTAGCCCTCCTGGAAGGTCAGGGCACCTCGCCGCCATGGCCGCGCGCCGCCTCCAGCTCCTGCCCGTGGCCGTGCTCGGCATGGCCGCCGCGGCGGCGCTCGTGGGCGCGCAGGCGTTCTGCGGCGCGGGGCGGGCTGCTCCTCTGGGGGCCTCCGCGCTGCGCGGCGGCGCGGCCCGGGCCGCCCTGCCGGTGGGCTCCGCGGATGCCGTCGCGGAGGCGTCCTCTCGGGGGTTGCTAAAGGTGCCCCTGGCCCAAGGTGCCCCCCGCTTTTCGATCAATCTTGAAGCCCTTGGGGCCCTCTGGGCCTCGAGAGGGGTGCTCTGGAGGCCGTGGGGGCCTTCCTGGAAATCCTGGGGGCACCCTGGCCCAGGGGGCACTTCTGGCAGCGCCCGATCCTCGATCATGACCGCGCTGCAGGTCCAGCAGCCCGCCTGGGCGGCCAGCCTGGCCCTCGTGATCGTCCCCATCTCCATCCTCGTCATCATCTACCTCCAGTCGGAGAAGACGCTGCAGGCGAGGGGCGCCGCGGTCGGCAGGCAGAGGCTGTGAGCTCGACGGCGTGCCCCTCGATGGGCCACCCGCAGGGCAAGACGCTCCGCTGCACTTCAGGACGAGGCCCATTGAGCGGCCCCTGGCAGCGCAGGGTGTTCAATTATGGCCTGGCGCGCGGCGTCCGGCTGAGTTTTTTTTTACGCGAAGCGACTGCGCCGGAGACCATCCAGCACCCGCCGGAAAGAAGAGCACGCACAGGCTAGGAGGAGATGGGGAGGACGAGGAGCGGATTCGCAATGGAGTGGCGTGTGTGTGTTTGACGAGGGGCCGAAAGTGTGTTCAGGAGGGGAGAAAAAAACACAGACACTCTTAATATGTTTTCCCGGGAAATGTGGAAAACCTGGACGAAAACCCAGAAAATAATTCGGATGAGAAAAGCGCATTATATATACAAGTGGCACGTGTGTGCCCAGGCTCATACAAGGGCGTTTGAAGCATGACTGAAATGCAACAGCGAAGTCGCACGCGAGCGCAAGTGGGGTTGCCACACATTGCGATGTGTGTACCAGGGCCCCCCAGGAAGCCTCAGGAGGCCCGACTTGGATACCAGTAGAGGCTCCAGGAGGCCCCAGGATTGTGAGTGTGGGTGTGGGTGTGTGTGTGTGTGATGTGTGCTGTGTTGTGCGTGCTTTTTGTGCGTTGTAGGTTGTATGTGTGTTATGTTTGTCTAGCGTGTGATGTGTTGGGCGTGATTTGTGTCTCTGTGTGTGCATGTAGTTCTGAGGCCCCAGGAGGCCCCAGGAGGCCCCAGGCGGCCTCAGGAGGCCCCAGGAGGCCCCAGGAGGTTTCAGGAGACCCCCAGGAGGCTCCGAGGCGGGGTCTGGGGAACCAGAAGGTTCAGAAAGCCCCAGGAGGCCCCAGGAGGTTCCAGGAGGCCCCCGGGAGGCTCCGAGGCGGGGTCTGGGGTACCAGAGGGTACGTCGGGGCTCGATTTTGGGAG